CCGAAACGTCAGCCTTCCTGCTCCTATGATGCTGCTTGGCCTGCTGTATTCATTCAGCTCTGCACCTTGTTGTCTCAGATTCTCCAGCATCTGCAGTTCCTACTATCTCTGATCTCTATTCAGAGTATATTTTCATACCAAGTTAATTTTCACTTTGTTCCTGGACCCCACTCGATCTGTCTTGGAACTCTGGTGTTTGCAGGTGAGCAGGCTGCCATCTATAGGACCTGGGCCATCTGAGAAAACAGAATTTCAGACAATTCTTCACAAACAATCCAATCCTCAGCGCAAGTGAATACTATCATTTCTTCTTGCAGGATGAAACCTACAACTCAGTTCACACAAACTCAAGACTTTTGTGATTTGCACTTCAGTTAGTCCAATTGGGCACATTGAAATTCTCAATGGGTTTTAAAATAAATTAGCACTTTCTGTTAAATGCTACAATACGTTATTGAATTCACTGGCCATTAAGCAAAACGTGGCTCATGTTGGTATTTAGGATCAACACAAGATTCTGCCCTCTACGCTTCACACAATCATCGACATACCAAAAATTCAACAGGCTGGCACACAAAAGTGTTAAATTTGGAAATGCAACAAATTATCAGTAGTTTTGAAGAGTCATTGTTTCAGACTTGAAACATTAACTCTGTTCCTTTCTCCACAGATACTGCAAGACCTGTTGAGTTTCTCCAGCACTTTCTGCTTTTAACTCAAACTATCACCAACCCCAATTTCCCAGGCTATTAAAGGATTCTCAAATAAAGGAAAAACCAAGTTACTTCAGACATAGAAAACAATTTGCAGTAACTACAGCTCGAAATCTGTTGTTCAAAACACACTAAAGAAAAGCTAATAAACACAAGACATTAATTCTACTTACACAAACTATTATTTCACGCAAATAGAGAAGGACTTACCTGCTATGCTATCTCTAATTTTGCCATGCATATCAGCATTGTTTTCACTAACTGCATCAAGTGTTTTTACAGCTTCCTGAGGCTGCAAGCCGTTATCGGGTCGCTTTATGGAAGTACTTGAGGCACTGGACCCTGTTCGAAGCACAGAAATAGTAAACCTCATGTGAAAGGTGAGTTGATGTCACAGTCATAGAAATATACATCAAAGAAACAGACCCTTCGGTCCAACTTGTCCGAGCTGACTCGGTATCCTAGATAAATCTAGTCCCGTTTGCCAGCATTTGGCCCATATCCCTCTAATCCCTTCCTATTCATGTACCCATCCAGATGCCTTTTTAATGTTGTAATTGTACCAGCCTCCACCATTTCTTCTGGCAGGTCATTCCAGACACACACCACCCTCTGCAAGAAGAAGTTACCTCTTAGGTCCCTTTTATATCTTTCCCCCTCTCACCTTAAACCTACGTCCTCTAGTTTTGGACTCCTCCACCCCAGGGAAAATACTTTGTCTATTTACCCTATCCGTGCCCCTCATGATTTTATAAACGTCTATAAAAGGTCACCCCCCCGCCAACCTCTGATGCTCCATGGAAAATAGCCCCAGCCTATTCAGCCTCTCCCTATAGCTCAAGCCCTCCAACCCTGGCAACATCCTTGTAAATCTTTTCTGAACATTTTCTAGTTTTACAACATCCTTCCTATAGGAGGGAGACTAGAATTGCATGCAATATTCCAAAAGTGGCCTAACCATTGTCCTGCAGAGCTGCAACATGACCTCCCAACTTCTATTCTCAATGCACTGACCAATAAGGCAAGCATACCAAATGCCTTCCTCACTATCCTATCTACGTGTGAATCCAATTTCAAGGAGCGATGAACTTGCATTGCAAGGTCTCTTCGTTTACCAACAGTCCTCAGGATCTTACCATTAAGTGTATAAGTCTTGCCCTGATTTGCCTTTCAAAAATGCAGCACCTCATGTATCAAAATTAAACTCCATCTGCCACTCCTCGACCCATTGGCCCACTTGATCAAGATCCCATTGTGCTGAGGTATCCTTCTTCACTGTCCACTAGACGTCCAACTTTAATTTTCTTTTGAAACAAACATTAACAACCCAAATGCAAGGAATTTCCTTACCAGACATTGTGGAGATATCCACTGGGCCAGTACAAGTTAGGTCAGGCAGATTGTGGTCGAGGTCTTCACTAGAAAATGGTTTAGTTATAAAGGTTATTTCTGGGTGCTCAAGCAATGTATACATTTCACTGTAAAAACAAAACATTTAAGCACCATTAGGCAGAAAACAAATCTCACCTGGGTTGAAGCAGATCATGACTGTTCACTCCTTTGTCAGCTCCGACCTATAAAGAGAGCATTCACGCAAAATTTCAAGAATCCAAGTTTAATATTCAGTAATCTAATTTTTTCACATATTGATCGTATCCCTTGTTCTTTGTCTGGCAGTGAAGTAGGTGTAACAGCCCTGTGATGAGCACAAACAGCAAGAAGTGGCTCCTGATTTCAGCACAGTCTGTTTTGCCACAACCAAAAGCTGACTTTATCCTCATCTGAAAGTTACAGTTTCAAAGCTTAGAGGAAAGTAGACGACCATACAGCACTTCATAGCCGTTCTATCGTTCAATGTGGTCGTGGCTGATCTTCTGCCTCAACTCCAACTTCCTGCCCACTTGCCACGAACCCTCACTTCCCAAAGAGGGGACAAATCTGGCTCTCAATATATTCAACAGTGGACCATCCGAAACTATCTAGGCTGGAAAATTCAACCGTCTGAGTGAAGACATCATTCCATCTCAGTCCTAAATGATGAACCTACATTTCCCGAGACTATGTCCCAATGTTCTCAATTTGCCAGCAGGGGGAAACAGCTTCTCAGCATCCACTGCAATCAAACCTTTAGAATCTTGTATGTTAAAACATCTTTCTGAAGTTGAATAGACCCAAATTACCCTCAACAATAGAAGGCACCCTCTCAATACCGGAACCAATCTTCACTGTTCTCCGTGTAGGTTGTTCCTTGGGAAAGGAAATGAAAATTGTGCATTAAACTCCAGGGGTTGTCTTCCCAAAACCTTATATAACTGTATGAGAATTACTTATTCTGGCACTCCAATTCCCTAACAATCAATAAAGTGATGGATGGAGTCATCAACAGTGCTATCAAGCAGCGCCTGCTCAGCAATAACCTGCTCAGTGATGCCCAGTTTGGGTTCTGCCAGGCCACTCAGCTCCTGATCTCATTACAGCCTTGGTTCAAACATGGACAAAAGAGCTGAATTCCAGAGGTGAGGCGAGAATGACAGCCGTTGATATCAAGGCTGCATTTGACGAGTGTGGCATCAAGAACCCCTAACAAAACTGGACCCAAGGGCACAGCCTTAGAGTAAAGGGAAGACCTTTTAGAACGGAGATAAGGAGAAACTTCTTCAGCCAGAGAGTGGTGACTCTGGAATTCACTGCCACAGAAGGCTGTGGAGGCCAGGTCATTGAGTACATTTAAGACTGAGATAGACAGGTTCTTGATTATCAAGGGGATCAAGGGTTACAGGGAGAAAGCAAAATAAATGGGGTTGAGGAACTTATCAGCCATGATTGAATGGCGGAGCAGACTCGGTGGGCCGAATGGCCTAATTTCTGCTCCTGTGTGTTATGGTCTTATTAAAACAGGTTTCGTGAATATTGTTTAGAAGTTAAAACAGCACCTCACACACCCCAGATTTCCACGGGTTTCTAGATTACTGTAGCCGAAAAGAAAGACTTCCTCATTATTTCAAAGCCAAAGAGATAGTTCCAAACCTATGGTACCTGCTTCAAAGCATATATGCAGTTTGCCATCTCAGGAGCAGACTCCCTCTCTCTCTCTGCCTTTCATTCTGGAGTTTGTTTCTACAGTGTTTAAGATTCTGCAGGAGAAGCAAAGCTAAGTTGGCACAAACCAGTCCAACTTGATGGGGTGTTTTATGAATGGCTGAGTGAAAGCTGTCATTTGTTCCCTGCAGTTCATAATCTGACCCTTCCATTACTTGTATGGTTCTCATTTTCTATTTTAGGAACTTTTCCAGTCAGTTTTATTTCTGCTCACTCCACCAATTCCAAAAACACTGATTGCTTGCTCCCACAGTCAAGTGCTCATTCAATTATCCTTCAATTCACATATAACCATGAACAGGTCTCTCATTCCAGTTGGTCTCAGGTATTCCCGTCGGATCCTATTAGATGACATCGGATGTCATACAACGACGGACTTGGAAATCAATCCAGAAGCTGAAGGAAGGCTTCAAATCTCCAGCAGAATTGATACCCACCTCAACTATGAATGGGCATTAATACAAAAACAGAAATTGCTGCAGAAACTTAGCAGGGCTGACAGCATCAGTGGAAAGAGAAACAGTTAACGTTTCAGCTCTGGATTATCCAGCAATTTGTTTCATGTCCTTCTTCAGAATTGGACTCGAAACGTTATCTCGGTTTCTCTCTCCGAAAAGTACTGCCGGTCTTGGAGTTTCTCCAGCACACTATTTTTCTTGGATAATTCCAGCATCTGCAGTATTTGGTTTTTCCATTAGAGAAGATGTACAGACCTTGTTCAGATGCTCTCCGCTCGTTGCAGGAACAGAAATCTCTCCCTCGGTCCGCAGGGCTGTGTGTAACTTGCACCTGTCAGCGAATTAAAATGTCGATTATTTGCATCTTTTAATAAACAGTGTGCCCGGTGTTACTGCAGCAAGATCAGCAACATGTCAGAGCATTGAAGTGTTTCACAAGCTCAGAGCGTGAATAGGTTTCATTGTACAGTGCAAACAGGTTAACAAAGTGAGATGGAAATGAGCACAACCACAGAAAGGAGAAAACAAAATGCAGTTATTCATTTGTGTTCCTTCTGGTTTGCATTGTAAATCTGCTGCCTATTAAAAGGCATTATGCTGACTTCGAAGCTAGGATTTAAAAATAACTCCCTTGCTCGGCTGCAGGGTGTGTTGCTGGGTTGGAATGTGTAGTGACATGCCGCATGCTATAATGTATGTTCCACATGCGACTCCGACCTCAACGCCTCCCCAGAACACCTCTGGAGTGGATAGCTCCAAAGTGGCGTTCATAGCGTTCAAAAGGCAAATCGTGGGCTTCTGGTTTCTAAGGTGAGGGGAAATTGCACATAAGCCAAAGGGATCGACTTTACCTACACGGAGAAGCATACAAGGGTATGAAGAGGCACAGGGTACCAATTCTCATCCATGCTTGGGGGGCTACCATTTTGGGTGTGCACTGGTCAAACATGGGTCCAGTCCAAAATCTAGGTCTTAAGGCCATTCTCTGTATTTTCACCTGGCTGCTAGGCATATTTCCCATTTCCAATAAAAGCCTGGCCTTTCACCATTGTACAAAGCACTCAGATACCAGACATCTGTCTATCAGCAGTTTGCTGTGACAGATATATTATTCCAGCAGCAACCATTTATTATATTGTTGACAAGGAACTCCTGCTTTAATGCTTCCAATCAGTCAATGAAAATTGAATAACCGGAATCGGAAGTGCATCTATTATTTATTTACAGGGCTTGTGCCTTGATGCCAACCACAACATTTCTTGCTTGTCTTCAGTTCAGTCAGAAGGGGAGGGCTCATCCCGATTTCTCGAGCAGCCTCAGTTTGTGTGGGATATGGAGCTCCATCAATGTTGTGAGGAAAGACATCCCAGGATTTTGATCCAGTGACAATGAAGGAAGAGCAATGTCTTTCCAGGTGTCGATGTGGAGAGATTTACTGTATGATTTGTTTGCTTAATGATTTCCCAATCTCTGAAATAGCCAGAGTTTCAGTCTTAAGTGGCTCAATTAGGTTCAGTTGTGGTCTTGGTTGCTTACCTAGGCTGGATATCAAGGAGCTCATTTGTGGAAGCCATAAGCTTTTGCTGTTCTATGTTGTTGCAGTAAATGTTGAGGGAATTTTGGAAGGGAGGCACTGGATAAAAGTCCTCCAACAGTAAGGCATCTATCAAAGAAACACACGTCATTATCCCTACCTCTGAGCCAGGAAGCCTGGGTTCAAGTCCCACCTGCTCCAGAGTGTGTCATTACATCTCTGAACAGGTTGAGCAAAATAAATACATGTAAAATGTTACATTTTAAAATCAGTTAAAAATTGCAATTCCCAGAGTAACAGCATTTTCCACACAAAGTCACTTCTCCCTGGTGACCTCCAAAGTTGAGCACAGCAGTTCAGACATGGGAAGTTGATTCTCCTGTTGTCAAACACCTCTCGTAGTAGTGGTTTCCACCCTTGTTTTTGCTGAAAGCTACAAGGTCATTGAGATAAAGGTACCCCAAAACAATAACTAGTTAATGTTACAATGCTCAGACTTGTTTCACAAAGAATCAGGTTTACATGCATTTGGAGAAACAAGGACTAATTCGGGATGGTCAGTGTGGTTTTGTGGGAGGGAAATTGTTGTCTCACAAACTTGATTGAGTTTTTTGAGGAAGTAACCAAAGAGATTGAGGGCAGAGCAGCAGACATTGTCTACTTGGACTTTAGTAAAGCCTTTGACAAGGTTCTGCATGGTAGAATAATTAGCAAAGTTAGTTCACATGGGGTTCAGGGGGAGTTTGCCAATTGGATATAAAATTGGCTTGATGGTAGGTGAAAGAGGATGGTGGTGGAGGGTTGTTTCTCAGACTAGAGGCCTGTGACCATTGGTATTCTACAGGGATTGGTACTGGGTCCAATTTGTTTGTCATTTATATAAATAATTTGGATGAGATCATTAGAGGCATGGTTAGTAAGTTTGTGGATGACAACAAAATTGGTGGTATAATTGACAGTGAAGGAGGTTATTTAAGATTACAAAGAGATCTTGATCAATTGGGTCTATGGGTTGAGGAGTTGGCAGATGGAGTTTATTTTAAATGGATGCAAGTTATTGCATTTTGGTAAAACAAGGGCAGGGCTTATGTAGTTAGTGGTAGGACCCTGGGTATTGTTGCAGAATAGAGAGATCTAGGGGTTCAGGTACATGATTCTTTGAAATTTGCTTCACAGGTACATGGGGTGGTCAAGAAGACAGTTAGCACACTTGCCTTCATTGCTCAGGCATTTAAAGTATAGGAGTTGAGACATCATGTTGAGGTTGGACATGATATTGGCGAGACCTCTTCTGAAGTACTGTGTGTAGTTCTGGTCACCCTGCTATAGGAAGGATATTCCTAAATTGGAGAGGGCTCAGAAAAGATTTACAAAGATGTTGCTGGGAATGGAGGGTTTGAGTTATGAAAATAGGCTGAAACTTTCTCCCCTGGAGCATCGGAAGTTGAGGGGTGACCTTATAGAGGTTTGTAAAATCATGAGGGGCACAGATAAGGTGAATAGCAAAAGGTCTTTTCCCTAGGATGGGGGAGTTCAAACTTAGGGGATATTCATCAGGTAAGAGGAGTAAGTTTCAAAAAGCACTTGAGGGGCAACTTTTTTTAAAATCCAGAGAGAGTGGCTCATGTGCGGAATGAACTGCCAGAGGAAGTGGTGGATGCAAGTACAGTTAAAAATTTAAAAGACATTTGGACAAGTACATGAATAGGAAAGATTTGGAGGGATATGGGCCAAGTGGAGGCAGGTGGGACTAGTTTAGTTTGGGAACATGGTCAATGTGGACTAGTTGGACTGAAGTTTCCGTGCTCTATGACGCTATTACTCCATAGCAATGTTAGATTCAAAGTGAAGAGTTGTATTTCACCTATTGAGTTACTGAAATAATATAGAAGTCGTTTTTGATTATTTTCAGACTTCCTTCAATATTCAATTAGATCAGAATTGAAACCCTTTGCAATAGCTCATGCTTCAGCAATGGGGCAATGCGACAAATGCAAGATGAAGACAGCAGTCAGAAGGTTGCTCACCTCTGCTACAGGGTCTTAACTCAGTGTTATTGCAATTAAACAGCTCCTCCCTGAGAATTCTCCCTGCCTGGTCAATGTTTGTAATTACAGAATTGATTATTTTAAAGTTGAAAGTTTCCATTTTACTAGCCAATCCACACCTAACATCCTGCTCTGAAAACTCTGCTCAGGTTTTCACAAATTGCACCACAGCAATTGAAACAATCATTCTAAACAATTTTGTAAGTAAAACAACTCAACATTCTAAAGTATGTCAATTCATCCTATCTCCCAAAATTAAACGGACCCTCAAACAATTCCATATCTGATCAGAATCCACATCTTTGCCAAAATTTAAATGAGCTCTTTTTTGATCTTGAAAGTTTTTGAGACATTATTTCAGGCAAACAGACTAAAACAGTGGCAAAACATTACTTCTGCTCAACTTCAACAGCAGGGGTAATAATTACATCCAACAACTCACTGCTGAAACAGAATCAATAAAATTTTAATAGCCATAGATGAGACAGGTGGTAAATAAAAGAGATAAAACAGAAGGGTTTACAGCAAATGCAAGAGTGGAATTAAACTTGGTCATTCAGACTGGCAAACACATCAGCAACAATATGATGAACAGAAAAATCTCATTCTGTGTTATTATGGGATTCAAATAGTTTAAATTTGGGCTGGATGGCCTCCCTCTCCTTTGTAACTCTGGCTATAGGCAAGATGTTGTGAAACTTGAAAAGGTTAAGGAAAGATTTACAAGGATGTCGCCAGGGGTGGAAGAGTCTGTGCTATAGGAAGAGGCTGAATAGGCTGGGGCTATTTTCCTTGTAATGTTGGAGGCTGTGGGGTGACATTTGAGAGGTAAAATCATGAGGGGCATTGATAGGATGAATAGTCAAGGTCTTCTCCCCAGGGTAGGGGAGTCTAAAACAAGACGGCATAGGTTTAGTGTGAGAGGGGAAATATTTAAAAGGGACCCAACAGGCAACATTTTCACACAGAAGATGGTATGTATATGGAATGAGCTGCCAGAGGAAGTGGTGGAGGCTGGTACAATTACAATATTTAAAAGGCATCTGGGTGGGTACAAGAATAGGAAGGGCTTAGAGGAGCATGAGCTAAATGCTGGCAAATGGGACTAGATTAATTTGGAATATCTGGTCAGCGTGGATGAGTTCAACAGAAGGGTTTGTTTCCATGTTGTACGTCTCAATGATTCTATGACTTATACAAACAAGGTCCCTGCCAGGTCCCAACTTTCAAAACAGCCAAACCATCTTGAAACATGAAACCAGGACTAATTTGCATTTGCTGTCATGGAAGACAACAAAAAAAAAAAAGCTGCAAAATAGAGCAACTGGTCAACTCCAAACATCCAGTAAGGAACCTAACCATCATTACTTCCATTTTGCAAATTGCATAAGCAAATAGTAAAAATGTAAAAATAAATTGAATTTGCATTCATCTCAAGCCAATTAATGGATTTCAACAGAACATGGATAAAGGTATATGGCTTCGAAAACAATGGATTAGGTTTGTGAAGATTGAACGTAGAACATAAACAGTACGACATGGGCATAGGCCCTTCAGCCCACGTTTCTGTGCCGACCAAGATGCAATTCTAAACGAATTCCATCCGAGTGCACGTGGTCTATATCCCTCTGTTCACAAGTCTGTCTAAACAGGTCCTAAACATTGCTGTCACATTTGGTTCTACCACATCCCTTGGCAGCATGTTCTAGGCACCTATCGCTCAGTGTAAAAAAACAACTTTCCCCCTCTCACCTTATACCTTTTCCACCTGATATTTGACAATTCCACCCTGGTAAAGAGACTCGTACTGTCTACACCTCTCCTTTTTGTACACTTCTATCATGGTCGCCCCTCTGCCTCCATCGCTCTAGTGAAAACAATCCAGGTTTGTCCAAATCTCTCCATGTACCTATCACACTCCAATCCAGGCAACATCCTGGTAAACCTCTTTTGTAGCTACTCCAGAGCTTCCAGATCCTTCCTATACTATGGCAACCAGGACTGCACACAATACTCCAAATGTGGTCTGACCAAAGTCTTACACAGTTGCAACATGACCTGCCAACTTTTATATTCAATGATCTAACCAACTAAGGCAAGCATGCTGCCTTCTTTACCAGTTATCCACTTGTGTCTCCACTTTCAGGGAGACATGGACTTTCACCCCAAGATCTCTCTGTAAATCAATGCTCCTAAGGGTCCAGCCGTTTACAGTATACTTTCTTCTTGCATTTGACCTCCAAATATGCATCACCTCACACTTGTCACATTAAATGGAGATTCTGATTTTGTTTTAAATGACGTGTTAACGTTGGGCGATGAAACAGATGACTCAGCTGCTCTGGTGCAGTTTGCTTCAGTTGTCAAAATATGAGCGAGGTCTTCAGAGAGCAGATTGTTGGATGGGAATTGACCTGCAGCCACCTCAATGAAATCGTAGAATCACAGAACCCCTAAAGTGTGAAAGCAGGCCATTTGGCCCATTATGTCTACACTTACCCTCCAAAGAGAATCCCACCCAGACCCACCCATTCTTGTAACCTTGCATTTCCCTTGGCTAATCCGCCTGACCTGCACATCGCTGGATACTGTGGGTTAATTTAGCATGGCCAATCCACCTAACCTTCACATCTTTGGACAAATGGATGCTGAACTTTATTCAGCTTTGCAGTTATAGAGAGTTAACCAGGCAGAGCAATCCCTCAGTGAAGAGCAGTGTTTTAATATTACCTGCAACACTTATTAACTCATGTGCTGCAAGTCCCCTCATAACTTGCAAGGCCAAATCTGACTTCTTTGTCAAGAAATCAATCAATCAGTCTCAGCATTATAAAAAGGAGAATTCTCCAACTTAAAATATTCAGAACAGCTGATGACAATGACTGACAACCTCACATGACATTCTATTACAGTGCAGTGGGACTGCAGCATTGTAAAATACCAATAGCCAAGAGGATTGCAAACCTTTGGAATTTTCTACCACAGAGGTCTGTGGAAACACAATTTTTGAGTATATGTAAAGTACAGGTTGATACATTTCTGATTACAAATGGTTATGAGGATTGGGTGACTAGAAGGCATTGAAATGTTCAATCATCGAGGAGTGTGTTGAATGGTAGAGCAAGCTCAATGGGCTGAATGGACTACTCCAATTCCAGTATCCTTTCTCTTAATAACCAAAAATTTAGAATTTCTTCTGAAAAAGCAATTTGCAAATTGTATTCTATGGGCATATTAAACACAGACCAAATCATCACACAAAAATGGATGACAGTACAACAGGAAAGCAATTGGCTATTCATACTTTAAATGCTATGGGTTGCAACTGCAGTTTAAAGTCTGCTGTAGGAAATGCTTACCCAGCAGTGATGAGCAGGAGTATGGGGTTACAGAGTTAAGGAGCATCCATTGTCGAGTACATGGCAGTGAGTCTTGAGGAACTTGGTTCAGTTGCAAACTTTGGGGAATATCTATCCACAAGCCTTTGTAGCAACGTCTTGTCTGTTTGAAGATGAGAATGATGTCACTATTTGAAACATTTATTCAAACAGAATAAGCATCCTTCCCCCTCGGATTCTCACCAGCCATGGCAACAGCATCCTGGACACTGAGCAATTTAACACGGCCAATCCACGTAACCTGCACATCTTTGGACTGTGGGAGAAAATCAGAGCACCTGGAGGAAACACAGGGGGAGAACGTGCAAGCTCCACACAGACAGTCGCCCAAGGGTGGAGTCGAATTGGTGTCCCTGGCGCTGTGAGGTAGCAGTGCTAACCACTGAGCCACTGTGCTGCCATGTGGGGTCAGTTATCTGGGATTTCCTACTATTTCTGCAATGACTGCAATGATTTAGAGTAGGCTCAACACTACCAGTGCTTGTGTTAAGTACACGTCAATGATTCAACTGTATGCTGTTGTCAGGCATTAATTAGGGATTCATTTGTGGTGCCATGGTAATTGCCCTTCCTGTGGGCTGGAAGGTCCAGACTCAGTTTCACTGTCCATGAAGCTGTGTCATAACGTGTGAAGAGATGGATTAAAAGTCAATTAAATAGGAACAGGCTGAAACCAGCATTGTTGGAATTTGAGTGTAGAGCTCTGTAAATAAATGCCTATTAAAATGTATAAAGATTGAAGGATACAACCGGAGCCAATGGCAGGCTTTCTACAATAAAATCAAATTTAGATGGGCAATAAGTGAACCTTGCTGGAGAGGACCTTATCCAGAGAATGTGAACTTATTTCAGTTACTGTGCTTTATAATCAATACTTAAGGCAGACAAAGTTAGGCCAGACTAACTGATATCTTACCAGAAATCATAACATTATAGTTTAACTTGTTCACTGAACAAACGGGTCATAAAATGAACTTGATGTGCCAGTTTATAGCAGTTAAAATTTCTTAACAGGAGTGCAGAAGTAAAATATAATCGGGAGAGCATCTCTCTTTTTATTGCTTCATTCCACACAGATGCAAAGAAAGAACTGTTTGTGCTGGCACTCAAGAATATAGCCAATAAGCACTATATCCCCTCCACACACCATTATCAGTTTGCAGCTGTTAGATTCATCAAGTGTAATAACAAGCGCAAAAAACAAATTGTTAGCAGACACAGCAAAATCACATCTGCCTTTGAAACTCTGAACTAGCCTTTGTTCAGCAAAAAGGTTACTTTGACCATTTCTTCAGATTGTGCCATTTCCCAGAACTTTCAAATGTAATGACCTTCCCTAAAATGGCAATCACACTAAAATCAAGTGTGCAGAATGATCGGAGGCAATTGTGATTCAATTCTAAAGAGGATCCAAGGGTTTTCCCAATCTAGGCCAAACGCTGATGTAGCTCTTATTAAAACTATAGACAGAAATATGCTATAAATTTTCAAATTCTTGTTGAATGACAATGTTAATTGCGTGTGAATTTTAGTATCAATAAGAATGTGGTGGTGCATTCTGAGAGGAAGAAATAGAAAGGCACATACACCTTAGTGAGCAAAAGGGCTTAGATGAGCAATGCGATGTTGGGGCCAAAATTCACAAACCATTTGGATAAAAGAGAACTCAAGTATTGCTGCTCAAAAAAAAATAAAGACATTTGACCAAAGATTTTTGTCTTGCACTCATCAGGGCAATTCTCAACAACTATCAAAAGTAAAGGGAACACAACAACACTAAGTCAGCAGGTGGACTCTGGTTGAGGTTTTGCCGCATAGTAGGCACTAACTAATGATGACAAAGTTAACTTTCAAGTCTTGTTAATCCTTTTAAACTTCAAGTCGGGCAGGTTGGCATTCTGTTCTTAACAAAACAATGGGTGCACCAAACCAGACAGACCAAAGTGGGTACATGAAGGTGGCTCACCATCACTTTCCCCAAGGAAAACTAGGGATGGGTAGAAAATGCTGGTCCTACCAGTGATGCTCACATCCAATAAAAATGTTAGTGAAATTGCAAACCCAAAAATTTGGCAATACGCTAATCACTGCACAGTTTAGTGGCTTAACACCTGAATCTTCATTTTACTTTAAAAGAAAATGTGGATGTGTAAGGAAGTTAGCTGAAGTGGTACAAGGTTGAATGTTGTGTGAAAATAGCTCCTCAGCCTTAGAATTCTCCTGCCTAAAGAGAGAGAAGAAATTCACATCAGAAGAATTCACCTGAAAGGGCAAAGCATGAACCTGGATTTGGATCACACCTCTCGTAACCACAGGTGTATCACTTTGAAATTTCCAAATTTGGTCACTGATATGAAAAAAAAAAATCACAGCAACCAATTTGCATGCAGCAAACGGGATAATGGGCAACCGAATTATTTTTGTGATGTTGGTTTGGGGTAAATCTTGGCCAAAGATATTAGGAAGAACTCCCCTTCTCTTAATATGGTTCCATGGGATTTTTAAGTCCTTCAACAGCACCTTCCAAACATGAGACCTCTACCACCTGGAAGGAAAAAAAGGGTCACAGATACATGGGAACACACCACATGCAAGTTCCTCTCCAACCCACTCACCATACTGACTTGGAACTATATCGCTGGGTCAAAATCCTGGAGTTCCCTTCTTCGCAGCATTGTGGGTGTCCCTATTCCTGAAGGATTGCAGCAGTTCAAGGAGGGAGCTCACCACCACTTTTTCTTAGGACAATGGGCAATATTGCTAGCCTAGCCAGCGATATCCACACCCCATGAACAAATTAGAAGTCTCCACCCAACAGGATAAACAGGGGCTCAGTTTAACACCTCACCTAAAGGATGGCACCTCTGACACTGCAGGGCTCCCTCAGTAGCACACTGGAGTGTCAGGGTGGATTCTGTGCTCAACTCGGAGATGTGATTGGAACCAACAATTTTATGGATGACATTGTGTGTGTTACCCATGGTTAGCATCTAAAGTGAAAAGTCTGGCTGATGTGTCTGCACTTCACTATTTTGGTCAAGCTGTCTTTGCCCTGGTGGGTTGAGTGTTTCTGGAACGTTTCCTGTCATTTCGAATTTATACGCTTTTTGTAACATTTGCCCCTTTAATGCAGTGCCAGATCTCTCATTGGCCATTTTAAACTGCAATCAGCAGTTTCTGATGTGTCAGGCTGGGGAAGAAAGAGTTAAAAAGTAAAGATTGAAAATAAAACAGTAGAAAATGTTATAGCAGCCAGAACCCTTTAACAATAACTTTGAAATATTTCATGGTGTTAATTGTTGCTTAGGTTCAATTTTGCAACAACAGCTTGCATTCCAGGAAGTATCAAGCAACTATTTTTATATACCATTTCCTCATGAGTGACAACTTCTGATTTGAATATGGGAAACTGTTTGAACAAACAAGAGAAATATTTCCTATCTCCAAAGTACAAACTCACCCACTGATCTTTCATACTAAGGTGTAGAGCTGGATGAACACAGCAGGCCAAGCAGCA